GAGGGAGGGAGGGAGGGAGGGAGGGAGGGAGGGAGAGAGAGAGAGAGAGAGAGAGAGAGAGAGAGAGAGAGAGAGAGAGAGAGAGAGAGAGAGAGAGAGAGAGAGAGAGAGAGAGAGAGAGAGAGAGAGAGAGAGAGAGAGAGAGAAAGAGAGAGAGAGAGAGAGAGAGAGAGAGCGTTGCAGTCTTACGTTGACCTATTATATAATATTTCTCCCACAGGCACAAGTTGCATTTTTTGCTAACGTTGGTGTATGATATAGCTTGTCTTACTTGCTTCCACTTGATTTGGTATTTGAAGTTTTGGTCTTTCAGCTTCCATATGTGTTTACTTAACTGCGTTACGTTTCTATACCTTTCATGATTGAACGAGCATTGGTGATTGTTATACCTTGACTTGCATTCCGACGTACGTTTCTTGCGAATCCTCCGTAGTTACTTCAGCTTGGTATATTATGCTGTCAGCCTGACAGTTCTTGTCCATTGGGCAAGGACTTTTTTTGCAATTGCAATTTCTCGTTGTATCGGCGGTGGCCATTGCTTTGGATAATTGAGTTTGTTGTGGCCCGAGATCATAGTTTTAATGTTATTCATACAGCTGTAGCTTAGTTTGAGGTTGTGGCGATTAAAAATTTTGCTGAGTGGGTTTGATTTTGGAAAGTGACGGTCGATTAATACGAGGAAACATTTTCCTACATTGGTTTCAACATTTCTACTGTAGGGTGGGTTAAACCATGTAATGTTCCTAGGTCGGTTTCTGTGTGTTTGCGGTGCATCGTTATATCTTAATTTGTAGTTGTAGCCACTGTTTTTCAATGCATCTTGATATAGGGGTTTGGCTTTGTTGAAGCAATCTTCGTCTGACGATAGTTCTGAGAGGCGTTTGTTGATGGCTTCAGGGATGTTTCTCAAAATTATTGGGGGGGGGGTGTTAGATTTTACATGCACGTACGGGGGAACGTTTTCTGGTTTGGAGTACGGCCAATGTTTGCCACTTTTTAGATCGAGCGTGACATCCAAAAAATTGACATCGGTTACGTTACCCAAAATTATATTAATAAAGAGCATCATCTCTTCAAAAAGGTGATTTAGTTTACGCATTTTCAACATTTCTATAAACTGTAGCGATCCACCTTAAATCAAAATGTGTGTATGTATATATATATATATATATATATATATATATATATATATATATATATATATATATATATATATATATATATATATATATATATATATGTATATATCATACCAGTATGTGTGTCTTTTCCAACAAACTAAAAATGGCTTGCGCACAAGGTTTGAAATCTTTAATCGTATTTTGATTTAAGGTGGATCGCTATAGTTTATAGAAATGTTGAAAATGCGTAAACTAGATCACCTTTTTGAAGAGATGATGCTCTTTACAAATCGAAATTTGTATATTATATATACAGCGACAATCAAACAGTCGAAAATTGGTCAGAAAGGTGACGTCACCACTGTTGCTATGGCAACAATGACGATTCAAGATGGCCGATATTTTGTAATGCAATTCTGTAATGCAAAAAAAAAATTATTTCGAAAAACCATGTTTATAAATTTTTAAAAAATTTGGCATGACAGAATTTTTTTAAAATTGGCCAGATAGTGTATTGTACTATAAGAAAATGTTTTCTGAAATAAAAAATGGGGGTAACCGACCTTTTTTAAAGTAAAATGCGTTCAAAGCCAAAATATCGGCCATCTTGAATCGTCATTGTTGCCATAGCAACAGTGGTGACGTCACTTTTCTTACCAATTTTCGACTGTTTGAGTGTCGCTGTATATGTAATATGCAAATTTCGATTTGTAAAGAGCATCTTCTCTTCAAAAAGGTGATCTAGTTTACGCATTTTCAACATTTCTATAAACTGTAGCGTGCCACCTTAATGGGTAAGAAATATGTTGGGTGTTTAATTGCTGTACGAAATTTCAGAAAATTTGCTACAATTTATGCCCATCAACAATTTGCGCAAACTTATATTTTTTCCTAAAAAATCATCCTTAATTGATGCCTTTGCCTAATTTGCATATGTCAGCAATATTTCAATTTTAATTAAGCATGAGAAAGGCTGATTTTTTAGGAAAAAATGAATAGTTAAAGGACTTTAACTAAAGAAAATTGTCTGACATTTTTCCAGTAATTAAAACCCAACAAGTTTTCCAACCATTAACTCAAAATACGATTAAAGCTTATAAATTTTGTGCGCAAACCATTTTTAGTTTGTTGGAAAAGAAACACCCCCTGGTTTGCACAATTTGAGTTCCAGTATTTTTTTCATTATTTTACATAATGGGTACTCAAGGAATCTATATATAAGAAAAACTTGATACCACGAGCTGTTTTTCAAAATTGAGAGTAATTTCAAACCTATTCAGTCTTTTATACTCTATTATTAATTTTAGCAAAATTTGATTGTTTTGGAAAGAGGAGAAATTTTACATTCTTTCTTTTTCTGCACAAAAAGTGTTTTTAAGGATCAATTTTTCTGGGGTTTTTTAGTTTTGTGCAAATTTGTTTAAAAAGATCATTGGCGCCATTTTTGCTAAATAGAATATTATACCCTTTAGAAGAATATGTTAAACTGAAATTGGTTGAAAAATCTTCGGAAAAAATTTGAAAAATTAAACATTGAGAATTTCGTGTCATAAAAATTTAACCGTTATTGTGAACGTAATGAACGGTGCTGTTTAATAGAAAAGGGGGATTTATTAGAAAACGTTTCTTTATTAAAAAGGAATTTTACGTATTCAGAGGGTTATCTAAGATGGGGTCCTCATATTGAATTTACATTAATTAGATTTTCTTCTGCATTTTTAGAAACCTCTTAAAATATGAAAGGCAAGATATCCCTCCTTCTTCTTCTAATGCGTTTTATCCTTTACATCATGGATATAATCTCCGACATCTACGTGACTGTTCAATATTACCAGAACGGCGAGACCTGGTGGTGTTCGATAACTCTTATTTTTGTGATTGTTCCTCATTTGATAATCAATACTTACACTGCCCATACAAATGTCGGTTTATTTTTTCTGACCCCATTTCAAGCATTCCTATTGTGGATTTTCCAAATATCTATCCTTGTCTCGTTCAAACAAGAATTCAATCGATGGAAAAAAGAAAGAAAAGAAGATAAAGTACACGATCTGCAGGAAATGACAACAAATATGTCTTTAAAAATGATTCATACATTTATTTGTCTTGCCGAAGCGTTTGCTGAGTCAGCTCCTCAATGGTGTCTTCAGAACTAGATTATGATCAGACAATGGCATTTTCCTTGGTATACTGTCATTTCAACTTTCTTGTCTCTTTTATCTTTGGCTTGGAGCATTACATCCTTCGAAAATTTACAAAAAAACCGTAAATGGATCAGAGACAGGAACTTCCTTGTTGTTGGTTGAATCTTTTCCAAAAATATCCCTGGTTGTGTTTCTTGTCGCACACCTGTCTTTGTTAATCTCGAGATTAACCTCACTTGTAATATTTGCATACGTGTTTCGCTACTATGTTTTTGCCATAGCTGGCCTTCATTGGCTGTTGGTCTTAATAGCAATTTGTGCCATTAGAAGATTTTTCCACCCATCGGCGATATCGATATTTATAAATGTAGGTGTGCTTAAAGTACGGTTGAAAAAAATAAACAATGTCCTAAAGGTGTCCCTCCTAGCATATTCCGTGATGTTTTACTTATCAAGTGGTATCTCAAACATGATTTTCCCGGAAAGATGCCCGAACGTTTCAGAGTTGTTGTTTTCGTGTTTTACGCAATTTTATTGTTGGAAAATGCTGCTATGGTATTACTTGCCATATATGGCGAGGCTGCTCACATAACTATCGTAACGAAGATCATGTTACCGCTAGTATTTGCTGGATTTTTCTTGGGGGTATTGTTCCTTGTGCTGTACTACAGATGCTGTCATCCTAGCATGATCAAGACGCAAAATGTTCGATCCAATAACACTAAAACAATTGTTTTGAATGAAAGCCAAACAAACGAAGACGAGTATGAAATGAATCGCATAAAATGATGATGGATTTTTTACGAGCTTACAGTATGGCAGATGAATTTTAATAATTATTTTTTTATATTAGCTGCGTAAGCTTTTTGTTTGGTCATAAAATGATTTGGAAACTACATTAACTTTTTAGCAAGATTAAACCCTCTTTTTGTTTGACACTTGTCTACCCCGAAAAACCACTGAGGGGGAAATATTCGGGATACCTCGGCAGCCTTTATTGAATATCTAATTGCCTACAGAGACAGAATCCTTATTCAAGCCCCTAATCTCCTTCTCGTTTAGATAAACACTGCACGTCTCTGCACAAGAGCGAGGCCACAGTCATTGATATGGCACGACGAAATTCTTGTCGACGCCTGAGTATTAACTGGATTACTTCTGGCATTTTTAATTGTGTAGCCAGCACGACGATTTGGTCCCGTTATGCAAATTTCATCTCATTATTCGAATTCATTTCTTTAGAAATTGAGTGCGTTGATAGTTTATGAACATGGCAATGTTTCCATAGGGGGACTGGATCATCGGGCTGGCCATACAACTGTGCATGTTCAATGATGAAATGCGCATATTCGTCCATATTAGAGCATTATAAAGTGCGCATGTTGAACCAGATTCTGAAAACCTCGCCAATTCCGCGTCAGCCTTTGGAATTTATCTACCTGAAAGCATCCGTTCTCGGCGTTTAACCTGTACATCTACATGTTAACGCAAAAACATGATCATTTTTTGTCATGTGCGCATTTTATTTTTTGCCAATGCCCCAACAGCAATTTTTAATTAACGCAATTGTTCAAGGCACGGATAGCTAACTTTCTTAAAACATTAGTATTAGCTAGTTCGGAAAAATGCAATGCGCATGTGAGGATGGAGGAGATTGAAAATTTCGCCGCTAAACAATAGTATCAGCTTCAAAAACAACAATTATTATTTAATATGACAATTACGTTATACGAGTGTGATTTGTGTTATTTGGTACAAGATTTTTACAGTCGTTCAAAATTATTGGGGGTGGGGCTTGCCCCCTTCCCTCGCCTCCCCCCTCCCCCCCTAGTATCCGCCACTGACAATCCTTACAGTGACTGAATGGGGCAAGAAAGAGGAAATAAGAGGCTGTCGTTTTCTTCAAGCAGCAAAAGATTAAAGTGCATTAATTATATTACTCATAACTCGTGTACATTTTCACCTGAATAATTCATTGACTTCCTATGACAGGCAGCAGACTCATCACCAAAGTTACAATATAACACTGCAAGAAATTAGTAATTTTGTACATAGTTGTCCAAAGGCTACAGTAATTCAAGAAACAGTTGTGCTGTATTCCTAATATAAAAAAAATTTGGAGATTAGTCATAGCGTAGAATTTGTAATGTAGAACAGTCAACAAATTTGTAATGTACAGAACGGTCAACAAATCTTTTTCAAGGAGGGGGGGAGGAGTGTAGTTAATTAGTTTGTTCTTCCCTTGTCCTTTGATATGACTGGCTCGCATGTTTGCTGCACCCTCCATGTGCCTTCGGTTCATACCGGAAAGTTACTTGCATGAGCAATGGCGAAACGACAGGAAAGAGAATTTTGTGTTATATATTGTCGAAATATAATAAGGGTTTATTTAAATACATGCAGTATTTAAATAACCACATCTTCCCTTAGCACAAACCACCAACGATTTTTATGGCCTATATGTTTGGAGTGGTACTCTTCATGCAATCAGCATTGTTGCCTCAAACAGTCGATATTTGGGGGTCTTTGATGTGTGTTCGCTGCTACAAAAGGAATAAAACAGGCGCGTTTTCGCAACCTGAAAAACCGCAGGAGCCAATCACCTTTTGATAATTTTAGGTACCGGGTAAGTCCATATTTCTATTTCAGATACAGTACAATTTTCAGATGGTGCTTTCTTTAGTCAAGAAAGCCTTTTCACTATAAGTATTCCAGTGAAATTCTACAGCGTTTGCATTCTGTTATAATTGTTACATCCCCTAATATGACCGCAAATTCTACGCCATGAATACCCATAATCTGATTGTAGAAGTATAGTAATTATATTAATATATGCAAACAACATGGTTCCCCAACTATAATAGTCATTAGTTTTCATTTCATGGAGCCTTATTAATATTCTACGATGTCCTTGATGTCAGTTAGTCCTGATCATTTTAATAATGACAATTATTACTATGATAATGTTTCTTTCAACATATTTTTCTTCAAAATTAATGGGAAAAAGCCCTACCCTAGGGACAGGATAATAGTCAAATTCCAAAGGACGGGTTGAAATAGCTGGTCAAATGCCCCCCATTTGCCGGACCCTCCCCCCTATACAGGCTTAACATTTGATAGGTGCACTATGAGTCAGCCATTCTTACTTTTGTAGTATTTGATATTTATTGGTCCACCTAATTTGTATAATTATTTGAGTAGCACTGAAAACTTGCCTCTTGGTTGTTTAAATTCCTTGTTGTTTTCCTTTGATGTACATGCATCTTTGGTTGGGGTGTCCGACCATCTCTTTCTTGATGTGGCATCTACTACTGAAATTCCAACTGGACTAAAGCAAAAATCAAACAAACATTTGCCATTACATTATGTGCAGACACTTGAACCCAACCTCATTCCTGGGTCTTGCTCACAGGGGCCGGGAAAATACTTGAGAGTGAAGTTTTTAAAATTAAGGAGCCTTCTTATTTGGGCAAGCATCTTTATTAAATGTGGCGTAATTAAGCAAACTTCTGCACGACTGCATAGTATACACTCACAAAAGTTACCAGCAAGATTACCAAGAGTAGTATACTAATGCATGCAACTACACTTATGTTATTTATTACCTGATGATCATTGCCACAGCAACACTGTGTTTCAAATTAAATTTTCTTTGGATTTTCTTCTTACTTAATAATGCACTTTCCATGTAGTCTAGGACCTGTATATGAGTTTGTATGCATTTCATTTAGGACAGATAATCTCAACTGTTTTAGGGTAAGTTGACCATGACGGTCAATATGGTAACGCTGCCCGAATCCCAATCCAGGGCGAAACGTCCGAAACTGACCACACCCAAAGGTGCTTATATGGTTCAGAGATGGTACTTTTGGGGATGGTCATTGGTAAGTGTGAAAAGCCTAGCACTAATATTTCACCTGAAAATTACCATGCAATAATCATAGTTAAACGTCAATTCAGTGCCGCCCAAAGGTTGGCGGGGGCCCGGGGCAAATTTTTTTTTAGGGGCCCCTATCTAAAAATTTTTTTCCCGATAACAACCTCCCCCCCCCGTCGCCAAAAAATTTTCGGTCAGTGTACCATTTTAGGGGTAAAAAATTTTTTCCGGAGTACAAAATTTTGCCGGACGAGTACGTTGCAATTGCTTTCGAGGGACTTTATCTCATTTTTAGTATGCCAAAATTCGGTACTTAGCCCAAGAAAACAGATATCTTGTCCTTTGCGCGGAAATATTTAACACACAAAAAAGGCTGGGGCCCTACAAAAATTTTTCAGGGGCCCCCAGCAACTCGGGGCCCGGGGCAATTTGCCCCCTTTGCCCCCCCCCCCCTTCTGGGCGGCCCTGCGTCAATTTGTGGCTTGCGAATTCAGATAAACAGCAGTGGACTTAAATTACCTTTTTCCCTAAATCTTCTTGATAGAAACATAATTGGTACTGATTTAAATATATTATCACTCTTTGGTGTAAAATAGTTAATATTTTCTGACCGAAATAATAATTTGAAATGTGCCTACCTCCTGCAAATAGACATATTTGGCCAAGTTCTCCACTTTACTTCGTTGTTTATCGGCGATCTCGTCGACATCCTACAAAAAATGTAAATCATCTCAGACATAATGGTATCAAGAACATTTTAAACAACTTTCAACTTGGTTTCAAGTAGATCATACTTGTTTAACCATCGACAAGGTAAGTCCACAACTTTGTCCAAATTCGGCGCCATTTTGTCATCCCATGTCGCTTGTTAACAATTCAGCCTTGTTACTCTTTTATCCAAGCCATTTTCATTCCACTAATAATAAATTTAACCCTTTATAACAGGAGGACACTAAAAAATCTAAACAAAATATAAGAAATACGCCATTTTATCACCATGTAAAATTTTGCTCATGAGTCTTTCAAAACATTCCGTACAAATATCGCGTGACAAAGTGACAGGGACGTAGCAGGAGGGGGTGAATTATTTCACGAAGATAGAAGAAGGCTGCGTGAAATAGACTAAAAGCTAAATACAATCATACAAATGTTTGTTTCATTTCTTGTAGCGACAAATATATACATATTATTATTTATTAATATGAAAAATTCATACAAATAAATATTGATTGTTGGTTTTACCATACTGTGTGTGCTTTCCTTTCATTTTTCAAGTCTCTACCCCCCCCCCCTGTCACGTCCCTGTTGCTAAACCACGCAAGATTTGTACGAAATGTTTTGAAGGACTCGTAAACAACATTTTAAAGGGTGATAAAACGGCGTATTTCTTGTATTTTGTTTAGATTTTGTTAGTTTCCTCATGTTATAAAGGGTTAAATTTATTATTAGTAGAATGGAAATGGCTTGGATGGAAGAGTAACAAGGCTGAATTGTTAACAAGCGACATGGGGTGACAAAATGGCGCCGAATTTGGACAAAGTTGTGGATTTACCTTGTCGATGGTTAAACAGGTATGATCTACTTGAAACCAAGTTGAAACTTGTTTAAAATGTTCTTAATTGATACCATTATGTCTGAGATGATTTACATTTTTTGTAGGATGTCGACGAGATCGCCAATAAACAGCGGAGTAAAGTGGAGAACTTGGCCAAATACGTCCATTTGCAGGAGCTGGTAGGCACATTTCGAATTATTATTTCGGTCAGAAAATATTAACTATTTTACATCAAACCAGTGATAATATATTTAAATAAGTACCATTTATGTTTCTATCAAAAAGATTTAGGGAAATAGGTAACGTAAGTCCACTGCTGTTTATCTGAATTTGCAAGCCACGAAATGACGTTTAACTATGATTATTGCATGGCCATTTTCTTGTGAAATACTAGTGCGAAGCATTTCACACTTACCAATGACCATCCCCAAAAGTACCATCTCTGAACCATATAAGCACCTCAGAATAGCCAAATCTTTTATGGTTTGGTAGATAGCAGTATGGCGAAAGCGTCGTTTTTGGGTGTGGTCAGTTACGGACGTTTCGCCCCGCGGATTGGGGTTCGGGCAGCGTTACCATGTTGACCATCATGGTCAACTTACCCTAACAGTTGAAATTATCTGTCCTAAATGAAATGCATACAAACTCATATACAGGTCCTAGACTAATGGGAATTGCTTCAAATAATAATTGTTTTGACGGTATATCACTATTCACTAGTATTTTTAGGACATTACTAAACCACGAAACAGCGAAACGAAATAACGAAACAGCTAAACAACACGTTTTATATTATTTTTAGTAAAAGGAATAAACTATATTTAAGTCAAACTAGAACGAAGTTAGACGAGATGAAATTAAATCCTTAGTTAAGTTACAACCGTACAACGCCATCACGGCATTAAAATAAGCATCAGAACTGTGACACGTTTACCCAAATTGAAGAATGTTTTCATGTACGGTATGTTTTATTACTATTAAGTATTAGTGAAACCTTTACAAATCAATAGGCATATATTTACAATCTAAATTACCTAATCCTCGAATTAATTTTGTCATAAAACCTATTATAGTTTGAACTGGCATGTAATAGGCGTTTTGGCTTGGTCTTGGAGTCGTTTTGACTTGGAGTCGTTTTGACTTGGGGCCGTTTTGACCGAGCAGCCCGGCCACACACATGCTCGTTTCACAGCCAAAATTTAATGTCAAAACAACATGAAAACTTCAAAAGAAATTATAACAGAGGAGACCTTGATAGTATTCGAAAAGCAGAAGAGTTTCTATCCTTACCAATATTCGATAATAAAGATTAATACGTGAGACTATTAGTATTAAATTAAATTATTAATACTTTTATGAATTATGTGCTGATGGCGTTTTAATTTAAGGATTTAATCTCGTGTAACTTCCTTGTAGTTTTATTTAAATGTAGTTTATTTCTTTTACTAAAAATAATATAAAACGTGTTGTTTCGCTGTTTCGTTTCACTGTTTCGTTGTTTCGCTGTTTCGTTTCGCTGTTTCTTGGTTTAGTAATGTCCGTATTTTTAACACAGCAAAATTTGTTGGATAGCATTGTAAATTTATTTTAATTAAACAATTTTATGACACCATAAAATTCCCAATTATAATATTTTACAGTAAGTATATATATACACCTATAGTGCAGTCATAAAACTCTGGCATCATCCTATAATCTTATAAGCACAAATATATAGTAAGTGACTGTAGATGTGTCTAACATCCCACATTGCTGATGGTTCAAATGTCAGCACTGTAACACATACAAGTATGAATTTACTGGAAAATCTTCTAGTAAGGGGCCAATCAGACCATGCTAATCTGAGAGTCCACAACAAAAAATCTATAAAATAATTTACTGTAGACACAATAATTAGTTTGTGTTACTTGCCTGTTCTGAGGTTCAATTACAGAAAATGACTGAAGTTATTCACTGGTAACTCCACTATACTTTAATCTTTTCCATACCCAAGAGCAGAGCCTTTTTGGAGTATTATTATCAGTACAAGGGAAAATCTTTAAAATGCCATTTCCATTACCTCCAAGTTCAGTGCATATTGGGTGAGTGTCAATCACAAAAAAGTTCCCGGACTTGCATCCGATGAGAAAGATGTAGGGTCCACTTGTGTAAATGGCTACCCGTGCTGTATCATCAATTGTACTGAGTGTTCTGACAGCCTTGACAAGTGCATTTCTTCCAGCTGAAGAATAGACCTTATCACCTGCTAGAATTTCCTCAGAAAACTCATATGTAGCATCGATGATACCTGCTGTTTTCAGTAGCTTGTATTCCTCTAAAACATCATACCATTTTCTCATGTCGCGGATGTGATTGAATGTTTTTGGTGAAGTCAATATCACTTCACAACTGCATGTTGACAAATCATTGACACGTGATAAAAGCATATCAGCTGTGATAATGCATAAAAATGCACAGCTATTTGAAGCATCATTTTCAATGATGTTGTCACAATGTAACTGAGCATTACATTTAACTGCAGCAGCATCAAGTGCGGTTATAGCAGTTGACTGGCTGACTCTTAGAGGAATATCTTGGCAGGGATGGCTGAAATCTTTTTGTTCCAGAAGTTGACAGATATCTTTAGCACCAGGCCTCTCCGATGGTTTAAATCTTACACACTGCTCAAATGCATCATAAACTATGGGCCAGTCTGTTGCCTATAAAATATAAATAATGCAAATCATTTATTTTAATTAGTCTTTATTTATCCTCTTGTTTTCTTTCAGCTGCTTTGGCTACTGTTCACTTTCATTTTATTCCTCTTTGTGTACATAATTTTTCTATAATGTTTTTGTATTTATTTTCTCAACGAACCAATCCCCAATTGACCAAAATTTTGAACTCAACAAGTCTGGGCAAAAATTTCATCACACCTTGAAGGAGCATCACAAAATTAGTAACATTCCAGAGTTTTATTGCAAAATGTTGTAAAATGCAGATTATATAGCCTTGCAAAGTTTGCAATTTTCAGTCATTTTAGATTACAAACAGGAAATGATTACCACTTCTGTGTGTATTATGCACATATCAATGTAAACCCAGTGACGGGAGGGGGGGGGAGGTGGAGGCAGGGACAGTAAAGGGGGTATGATGACAAAACTCATCCCCTCCCTGGGACGTTTTCTATCTTGCCTGTCCCCAGGATGGGGCGCTTTGAATTCCGCCCAGCCTGCTCGCAGGTTGAACTTATTAATGTGCATGAGCAGTGATGTGTAAATTTTAAATCCACCATGCTCATTTGAATGTAGTCGAAAGCGAGATCGAAAGTGCTGTTTTGCAAAGCTTTTTACAGTGGTTTTTACGTAATTGTATGAAAGGCAAGTTTAAATTTAAACCAGGATCAAAGTTATCTGTTTATGAAAATCAGAAAATAGCATCGCGTTATAGCATCGCCTCTAGTGTGAACGGACCTTTATGTTCATGTCAAATTCATACTATTAAAAATGATTCTCCCCTGTTTTGCTCGATGTTTGTACAGTAAATTGGTGTTTTTAAGAAGCTTAAAATATGTAGCTCTTCTCCCTTGGGTGGGGAAAGTTACCTTTATTTGACCGGAATATTCTCCCCCGTGCGGGCATTTGATTACATTTCTCGTATTTTTGTCAAATCCCCTCCCTAGTCATGGCCCCCACACACATGATTTACATTGATAGGTGCATAATACAAAATAACTGAATATTACAAACTTCGCAAGGCTATACTGTATTATTCACATTTTACAACATTTCGCTACAAAACTTTAGAATATTACTAATTTGGTGATGCTCTTTCATTCTATGACAGAATTTTGTCTAAATTTTTTTTTAATTGGGGAATGGTCCATTTAAAACAGTATTTTTTAAAAAGGAAATTTTGTGGTTTGATTTCAAAAAGTGGAAACACAATAAATATTTTCTTTAAAGATGGAAACACCGCTACCCAACCAATTTTGCCCCCCCCCCCCAATATTTTGTGAAGTGTCCACCACTAATTTAAATTACCATATTTTCTTTACATATTAACAGCCCTCCCTCTATTGAATCTCTTTTCACTAATAAGCCCCATGATCCCCTTGCAGGCTAAAAGTAATATGATTCAGGGGGGACTACAATAGAGGAACTATTGTAACTATTAAATTACATAGTGCAAATTATAAAATGTGCTTGAACGTGCCTGTAAAGTTTGATACCGCCCGCTCTGCGAAGGAGCTTTCTCCATGTGCATCATTTCTCTGATAACTTCTTGCCAATCTTTTCTCTTGGAACTAATGTCAATATCGTATGGATACTTTAAGTCAGGATTCAGCAGCATAAAAAAGTCATGCCCATTGCCCACATAACAACAGCTTCCAAAACCTTTGAAGAGGCTAAAAAGCCAGAATACATGGTAAAAATTTCAGGTGCCATATAGACTGGAGAACCACGTGTGACATTGGATGTACCTGCATGGCAGATGGTGCCAGTTTGAACAACCTTACTCCGGCTTTCTCCAAAGTCTGTTAGTTTGCAGATAATGGGATTCTCTTTGAAAACTTTCTGTCTTTCACTCTCATGTAGTGTTGAGTAATGGATATTCGACACAAGCACATTTGCAGGTTTGAGATCTCGATGAGTTACACCATTACTGTGAAGAAACTGCAGCCCATATGCTATGTCCTGCGCAATCTTTAATTGCAGGGGAAAGTCGTCGATTAAGCCGTAATCATCAATGTAGTGTAAATAAGAATCGAGAGATAACACAGTACCTTCGCCACCAAATGGTTCAAAGCTAAAGCATAAATATTCCAGCATTATTGAACAAGGCTCCAAACAAAGCCCCGTGATCGGAACTTTAACAATGTTAGGATTATCAAGCCCATGCAGAATGATCGCCTCCTTAATAAAAAGGTGACGCAGACGCTCATCTTTTGTTCCTGAACCTTTTAATTTTTTTATTACCACGTGGCCGTCTTCCTTTGGGTTTGCACTCTTCGCTAAAATTACCATCCCAAATGAGCCCTCTCCAAGCGTTCTTTCCTCTGCTATTTTGTCCCAGCGAAAGGTGGGAATATTTTTCCCAACAGAGAAAAGAGGCATAGAATTTTTGGTCGAAATCGTGGGAAGTTTGAAAGGCATATTTGCTTATTTTGATATTTGTCATTGGTATTTCTCAAAATATTGACAACGACAACGCAGTGCTTTCATTTTTAAGATCAAAATTTCTTATTTTTGTTATCGAAGTTTAATTGTCTAAATTCCTTAGATTCCGTATATGTTATTTCCTTGAAAATTCCTTGAAATTTCATGAAGCAGTTTGCATGCAGTGATTTTGAATTTGTAGCAATACAAATGATTTAATATTTGTTATGAATTTACAAGAGATACCTTTACATTGATATGATTAATTAATTAATTAACTATTCACAGCGTTTGGCGCCAAAACTTACTAAATCCCATTGCTCAAAATCTTTCGGAAATTTTCGGAAACACGAGAAAAAAAGTTAAAATCCGATTTTTAATCACAGTATAGGGATTACTGTGTTTTTAAGTATAGATAATTGATAATTCACTCAAAAATTCAAAAAAATAGTGAAACCTTCCTCTGCATAAATGCGCTTGGATGAATATTTAAATTTTTCGGGAAGAAATCCTTATATTTCCTCAGATTTTTTCTATGGTATTTCGCAAATTCCCGTTTCGCAAATTCCCGTTTCGCAAGTCCCGTTTCGCAAAGTCCCGTGTCGCAAAGTCCCGTTTCGCAAAGTCCCGTTTCGCAAAGTCCCGTTTCGCAAAGTCCCGTTTCGTTTCGTTTCGCAAAATACCATAAGTCGTTTGTTTTAAATATTGATTTTATAATGGCTTTAAAACCCGACTGCCTTTGCATATATGAAACAACTAAACAAAACAGCATATAATTTCAGTGTATCTTTAATATTCATTCCTTTCTTATGATATTGAATTTTTTAAATAAAAAAGGAAGCAAAGTTATTTGCAAACTCAAAGTTTATCGATAAAGCCATTTTAAAAGGCAGTTTAGTTTTATAACACAATAGTGACATTGAAAACGTTTTGCGAAGCGTTTGTGGTTGAATTTTACCTTAAATTGAGGCTTATATTACGTATAATGACATGCCTAACATATATATGTTGGGAAATTAATAATTTTGTAATTAAAAGTGATATTTTTAGGCGATTTATATTTGTAAGAATATTCTTAAAAAATTATCGTGTTACCATGACAACTACTTTAGATACTTCATGTTCGGGAAATACAATGGTTTTGTCAGCTAGGCGAGGGTTTCTGCATGTTTCTAATATAAGCTTTAATTTAAGGTAAAATTCAACAACAAACGCTTCGCAAAAACATAGGCAGGCAACCCAATGTTGTGGTTGCCTGCCTGCCTGCCTGCCTGCCTGCGCGCGTGCGAGGCATTGTATAGTTGTATTATTTCTTAAGGTAGGCAAATGAAATCAAACTAACGATACATATATACCTTCAAACAATCCAAAATACTTCAAATATCTTTACAACTACGCTAAAGTAATCACGGAAATAAAATCTACGATACTTTTACAATATACTAACAATATTTTAATATACAAAACAAATTTGTAACGCGAGCAAAATACGAAATGTTTTTGCATTTTTTTTTCAATTCTTGAATGAGACGATGCTGGATTCGCGCTCGACGTTTTTGATGCATTTCAAATGACGAATTTCCAGTCTCATTGTCTCATTTTTACGGTTTTAAAACGTCGAAATGACAGCCAATGAGATTGGAAATTCGTCATTTGAAACGCCATCAAAAACGTCGAGGGCGAATCCAGCATCATAGATTATAGATCATGCCAGATGTCTCACTGTGTATCTATCCCTATGATTTTCGTGTCCGCGATTTTCGCGCGAGCGACACTTTCTGCCAAAATGGCGCTTACAGCCAAAATGCGTGAATTACTTTTACTGCCAAAATGGCGGCCAACGCGTGTTCATAAAAAAATCGCGGACGCAATTTTGGCTGAGTGATTCATCTGGTATTATCTATCATCTGTGCCAGCATCGTCTCATTCAGAATTGAAAAAAATGCAAGAATTTTCGTATTTTTCTTGCGTTACAAATTTGTTTTGTACGTTAAAATATTGTTTGTATATGATAAAGTATCGTAGATTTTATTTCCGTGATTATTTTAGCGTAGGTGTAAAGACATTTGAAGTATTTTGGATTGTTTGAAGGTATATGTATCGTTAGTTTGATTGATTGCATTTGCTTACCTTAGGAAATAATACAACTATACAATACCTCGCCCGCGCGCAGGCAGGCAGGCAGGCAGGCAACCATAAGATTAAAGTGCTCTTTTAATATAGTATTTTAATATATAGAACTAGACTGCCTGTATCGATAAACGTTGAGTTCGAAATAAAATGATTCCGAATTCTCGCGTACAAATAACTTTGCTTTATATTATATTAAAATGTGTAATCAATAAAGAAACACTGAAATAATCTGTCTTGTTTCATATTTATACGCAACCTGGCAACGATCGGCTTTTAAAGTAATTACAGTATATTACAGGTAAACTACGTCAAGCGTTCCTCATTTGTGTTCCTAACTCATTTGGAATTTTAAAATTAGATTTGCAAATTTGAAAAACTTTTCGCAAATCCCTTGAGGGAATTTGCAATTTTCCTGTCGGCCGTTGCAATATTCCAACGCAAAGAAAGTTTCTTTTTCAAATTTTCCTAAGTTTCTGTTTTAATTTCCTAACTTCCTGTTCTGTTCTGAGCGTTATCATTGGTGGATTATTTTTGTTAGCCAATTGCAACGCACAGAACAGAACAGGAAGTTAGGAATTTGTGACAGGAAGTTATTAAGAACTTCTAACAAGAACTGAGGAAAATTTTTTTTACATTGCAAATTCCCTGAAGGGATTTGCAAGGAGATTTTCAAATTTTCTAAGGTAATGACGAAAATTGCAATCAACTTAGGAACTCAAAAGAGGAACGCTTCAAGTAGTTTACCTGTAAAGCAAACAATCGTTAACGTTCGCGCTTTTACTCCCTTCGTTTAGCAATTCTTTCGCCTTTATTTTATCAAAAGGCTTTTGAAATTTACAAAATCTTGCAAAAATGAAATATATTTGCAAGAAATCATCAAATCAAGAAATGTTTGTTATTTCGCTGTCGTAATGAAGTCGTTATAAAACAAATTTTAAGTTGGACCAATCCGGTGTTGGCTATTCATGACAGTCCGCTATATTATGAGATCAGTGAGGATGATCACCCACCGAAACTTCGTTGGTGAGCCACGCCCGCGATCATTGGTGAACTTTAGACTTCGCTAATGCTTTCGTTCCCCGGGTGTAAATATAGCCTGGTGGAATTAGTGCCCTCGCACGGCGCTTCGCGTCGTCGACTCGGGGATCATCATCGCTATAATAAAGACAGTAACTGTAACTAGGGTATAAAAGGCACGGTTATGCCTATAATATCATCCATTCCTGAAGATGACTAAAATTTAGTCGAATAAAACGTAGAAAAATAAAAATACTTTCATTTCTTTAAATTACTTCATTATACGTAGGCCTATACAGCGTTTACATATAAAAAAATTGCCATGTTATATTGACCAATTTAAAATTGCCGACTTTTCTGCCGCTCCAAATATATAATTGCAAGCGCGTATGTCTGAGTGTTCAAATTAGTCTGTTAAAGAATAGTTAAAATCATAAAGAATAATAAGCAAAGCTGTCAAAAGTATAATCAGACAGTTAAAATTAAAATAATTTAGTCTTGGCAATTAAATTTTAAAGATGATTTAACTCGCGATTGGACAACGACGAAATTGGTGGATAAAACATTTTACGAAACTTGAAGTTCGCTGAGAAATTGCAATGTCTATATATAATGTCTCTCTCATATACAGCGACCTCCATGATCCATTTGGACAAATGTGTAAAAATTTTGAGAATATTTTGCGGCAGCAGAGGTATAAAAATTGCATATGCGACTGCTAATTTCAAGTCCTTCTTATTTGGCCATTTTTATTCGCAATGAGATATCTTAAATTGATCTTGCGAAATATATTGAAGGGTTTCAAACTCTTGAAATATAAAAATAAATAAACACATTTTAGATATAATCTAAAATCCAGAAAACGTCTCACTTTCGAAAAGAATATATATACATGTGCATGAAATGATATTAAAATATTCATTTCTCCTCACAACGGATTCTCGTTCGTGGCATATAATGTAAGCTAGTGGCAGGTGACGAAGGCTAAATTACCAAATCATGTGTATATCGATCATGTATATATCGAGCATCTGTTGTTTGCCTGTCAGCAAGATGACTTAAAATATCAAACGTACGTGTATTAATACAAAAATGAATGCGACTACTGAACATAAACCAAGAACAAATTAACTAAATTTCTGTCAAATTTGGATAAAAAGTGGATGAGAAATATAGAAAATGTTCGTCTTGCTTTGCCGAACAGAGTAAAATTGAATGCATAATAAGCCCATTGTATAATTTATGAATGAAATAATGTTAAGCACTCTCTATAGGTCTGTAATAATGTCCTGGGAAATGTGTTTGTTGCGAATATGCTGCTCTGGCGCACTGCTCTCTATTGCTTAGTGCCAGGATTTTTATACACACTATAGTGATTCTAATTTTTTTTTTGGGGGGGGGGCAACAATCGTGACTGACAACTCTCATCAACTTTCATTCTTTTCATTTCCCCCCGATATTATAACAGAGAGATTTAAAATATCACAAACAATATAATCTATGGCTAAATTCAGCATGTTACTTTGGTTTCTAGCTCTATTTCCCCCCTTCTTGTACTTGTTTTTCTTGTTTGATATAAATGTAATGTGTGCTCTTAGGACGGCTTGCCTTGTTTGGGCCTTGGGCCTGTTGCTTCCCTATCCTTACTGCGTACTGATTTAATCTTGTAATTGTTGCCGCAGTTAAAGTTCAATAAATTAAATGATTTTCGTTTTACCCGCACTTAAGTGTGTCATTGTCATAAATTAAAAACAGGTGTGACCACCTTGTGCGACTATACAATGCAATAATATACTATTACCCGTTGCGTTACATGCATTCACGTTAATTCTTCAGAAGAACTCGCT